CAATCACAATCGGATCCAAACTGACTTGTCAGCACAACATGCCATATTACACACAATCATTTTTGTGAAGAAGAGTTCTTCTTGTCCTAGGATATAGTTTTGATGAAGACAAACACATTAACAAAAAGAAGAGTCAAAGCTTGAAGACTAGAGCAATCAAGTTCAAATTATAAAAAAGCTTTGGAAAATAAATGGAAGAATCAAGATGGTTGAATATGAATTACAATTCAAGTATATATATCTTTATTGCTCATTAAAACAATTTATATTCATCTTAACCCTTTCATGATTCTTTTAAAAATATTTTTAAATTAAGTATTATGTTTTTGGTAAATTATGGCATTTCAAACGGCCATAATAGCACTTTAAAACCGCCACAATTTGCACAATTTTCTCAAAATGTAGAGATACTTTAATTTTTGAAAATGTATCATGTATAATCGATTGAACACTTTAGGTAACCGGTTACCACTGAACCAGTGACACTTTTCATGTAAATTCTGATGCAAACGAATTTTTGAAACCATTTTTGAACCATGACATCTTTTCATGTATTTGCACACTTTTAGAAAGGTGTTAAGGCATTATATAAATCATAATTTTCAGAATTCAAACTCATCTATCTTTCATAGAAATTCATAACATATATTCTCTCATTTTTAAAATCAAGTGTTCTTGGCATAATTTTTCGTTGAAACTTTTGCACATCAATTTCATTACATTCTCAAATAGTTTCAACTACATAAATCATTGAGCACTTGTACTACATATTGAGATTTTCTTATTTGATAGATAAGATCAATTATAAGAATTGATATACATTGTTATATAAATTCAAACACTTGTAAAAATTTAGATTGTTGTAATTTTCTTGTTGTCCAGGATTGTTGGAAGTAAGAGAGTGAATAAGGGAGGATTGTTCTCTTGTTGCACTTTGTAAAGATCATAAGAGGATTGTCCTTATTGATTGTGTTGCTTATGTTAGAAGATTATAGGATAGGTCTTGGTGGAAGACTTGTACAAAGATCTGACATAATGGAAATCTCTTACGGGGGGTGAGGGGACTGGAGTACTCTCGGATTGTAAGGGGAACCAGGATACATCGCCATGTCTCTTTACTTCCTGCTTTTACTACATTCAACACTTAGTAACTTTTAGGAAAGTAAAAAAATAAATCTACATAAAGACCAAGAAAAAGATTTTCAGTACCTAACTCACCCCCTCTTAGGTGCAACTCTACTTACAATTGGCATTAGAGTAGGTTATAGGTAACTGGTTCCTAAAATATTCATAATGGCTTCCGTAAATCCGGTTTTTAGAGACGGTGGCAACAATAACAAGCCTCCACTGTTCTGTGGTGAATACTTTGATTTTTGGAAAATTCGTATGAAGGCACATCTAGAAGCACAAGGAGAAGATATTTGGGATGCTATACAAAATGGTCCATTTGTTCCTACTAGTGTTTTCGATGACGTTGAGACAAAAAAGAGTAAAAATTCATAGAATGAAGATGATAAGAAAAAGGTACTCTACGACAAGAAAGCAATTAACATTCTTCCAAGCGTTCTCAGTATGGATGAATTTTTCCGTATATCTCAATGTAAATCGGCAAAATAAATTTGGGATACTTTAGTAGAAACTCATGAAGGAACCACTGAAGTTAAAAGGTTAAGATTGAATACCTTGAGTCAAGAATATGAAATGTTCAGAATGCAGCCCAGAGAATCAGTCCTTGATCTACAAAAGAGATTTGTTCACTTAACTAATCACTTGATTGCTCTCGGTAAGACTTTTACTAACAATGAATTAAATCTTAAACTTCTTAGGGCTTTAACTAGGGAATGGCAACCAAAGGTGACAGCGATATCAGAAAAGAAGAGTCTTTCTACCATGACGTCTGCTTCCTTGTTCAGAAAACTTCAAGAACACGAAATATAACTTAAAATATTAGAGCAACATGAAATACAAGTAAAAGATTCAAAAGATGTTGTATTAAAGACAAGATTCAAATTTCATGATAGCAATCAAGAAGAGGAATCCACTGATGACAATGATGATCTTATTAAAAAATTTGAAAAGTTTTTGAGAAAAAAAAAAGGAAAAAGGAGATCATTCATAAAGAAGAATCAACAAGAAGAGTTACATGTTTTGAATGTGGAAAAAAAAAGGGACATGTCAAGAAAGAATGCCCTACACTTGAAAAGAAAGAAAATTTCAAAAATCACAAAAAGGAAAAGAAAGCATATGTAGCATGGGATGACAATGAAATAAGTTCATCTTTAGATGAAGATCCTGCATGCAAGATATTGATGGTATCACATCATTCAAGTGATGAAGAACATGAGAAAATTGGGTACCTAGATGTAACAAATTATTTTGTAGGTACTTGAAGATCAAATGCTAGAATTGTCAAATCAAGATTGATCCTTCAAGACACAAGACCATACAATATGTTAGTTCTAAAAGGTTTTTTGATTAAAAAGATATTTTGAAGAAGCATCAATATTGATATCAAATTTAACATCAAATTATTATGAAGGAGATAAGTGTCTAATTTTATGCTATTAATTTTCAATTATAACAATATATCCTTCCTATGTTATCACCTTGCTTTATACTTTATTCTACTTTGTCTTCTTTTTGATGATGTCAAAAGGGGGAGAAATAGTAGGTATTGTATTTGTTCTTGTTTATAATTCTTTCAAGAGAGAAAACCTTGAATTTAAAAAGCAAGGGGGAGATATACAAGATAGGGGGAGATTCTAGTTGCTACTCGACATTTCAAAAAGTCACATATTGAAGCAACTCACTGATGAACAAGTTAAATTTTAAAGAATGATTTGTCATCATCAAAAAGGGGGAGAATGTGAAGAAGAGTTCTTCTTGTCCTAGGCTATAGTTTTGATGAAGACAAACACATCAACAAAAAGAAGAGTCAAAGCTTGAAGACTAGAGCAATCAAGTTCAAATTATCAAAAAGCTTTGAAAAATAAATGGAAGAATCAAGATGGTTGAATATGCATTACAATTCAAGTATATATATCTTTGTTGCTCATAAAAACAGTTCATATTCATCTTAAATCTTTCATGAATCTTTTAAAATTATTTTTAAATATGTTTTTGGTAAATTATGGCATTTCAAACCGCTATAATAGTACTTTAAAACAGCCACAATATGCAAAAATTTCTCAAAATGTAGAAATACTTTAATTTTTGAAAATGTATCATATGTAATCGATTACCCACTTTAGATAACCGATTATCACTGAATCAGTGGCACTTTTTCATAAAAATTCTGATGCAAACGAATTTTTGAAACCATTTTTGAACCATGACATCTTTTCATGTATTTGTACACTTTTAGAAAGGCGTTAAGGCATTATATAAACCATACTTTTCAGAATTCAAACTCATCTCTCTTTCATAGCAATTCATAACATATATTCTCTCATTTTTAAAATCAAGTGTTCTTGGTATAACATTTCGTTGAAACTTTTGCACATGAATTTCATTACATTCTCAAATAGTTTCAACTACATAAATCATTAAACACTTGTACTACATATTGAGAATTTCCTACTTGATAGAGAAGATCAATTCTAGGAATTAATATACATTGTTATATAAATTCAAACACTTGTAAAAATTCAGATTGTTGTAATTTTCTTGTTGTCTAGGATTGTTGGAAGCAAGAGAGTGAATATGGGAGGATTGTTCTTTTGTTGAACTTTGTAAAGATCATAAGGGGATTGTCCTTATTGATTGTGTTGCTTATGTTAGAAGATTGTAGGATAGGTCTTGGTGGAAGACTTGTACAAAGATCTGACATAGTGGAAATCTCTCATGGGGAGTGAGGGGACTGAATTACTCTCGAATTGTGAGGGGAACCAGGATATATCTTTGTGTTCTTTACTTTTCGGATCTATATTTCAACATATTTATTTTCATATCATTTTTGAAAAATAGCAAAACCAGTACTAACGCTTCAAATTGAGAAAAGTCCAATAAATTTAATTCACACACTTCTTAGAAACCGCGCATAAACTAACAAGTTTTAACCGCCATTTGAGATATTTTATTCTCACTCACACATTACTCTTGATTTCTATCGAAATTGTATACCCTAACGAAATAGTATAATAGTTTCATAATATAAAATTCCTTGCACAAAACTATGAAGGGAGAGTAAGATTAATAACACTTACTATGGAGTAAGTATATCCAAACCTATCTATCATACACATGTGTGTTAGGATGTATGGGTGTGATTATTAACGAGCTTAAGAAAAAAACAAAAAGTACAAATTGGATTCGTGGCTTGTGAGCACACTTGAAACCCAACACTTGAAACCCAACTTGGAACCAAATGAAGAGTGGCCATAACATTGCTCTCTTTGTCCATTAGTATCTCCTCTCACATACATATCTTTCTAGTTTTAAGTTTAAAAACAACTACATATGTTATTTTTAATTTTGATTAGATATTAGTGTAAAACTAATTTTCACATTAGTATACACGGTTTAGTACATATTGACATTTATTTTTTTTTAAATATAAAATATTAACCGTTGATAAGATAAATAATATCCATACATCGTAGTAATTTGCAAATTTGTTGAAAAATATTATTTTAAAGAAAAATACAGAATTTTAGAATTTCACATGTATCAAGATTTTGGCCCAACCATCATTCTACAATAGAAAAAAAATGAGTGAGTGAGAGTGAGATATATCATGATGATTGAAGTTACTACAAGCACAAAACCAAAGCATGAATTATAGCCATTCATTGAATGATATTGCTATCCAAAATCTAATCCTTACTTGTTTGGGCTCATGAGTCACAACCACACATCCACGTTGCCACATCTTATTCCCTTATTATACACTTCTTACTACATAATAATACTAACATTTAACTAAGACTTTGCTTCTCTGCAAAAGTTCTATACTACAAACTTCACCTTCAAAATATTCAGTGTTCCTTGTTGGCTCAATCATGGCTTCGGCTACTTTCTCTGTAGCCAAACCAGCTATTAAGGTTCTATATAGTTACTTACTCATTCTTTAGAATTTCATGTTAACTAGTAGTGTACCATTTTTGTAGTAAAGCTAGAGTTATAGAAACTTATAGTAGTTTTTTTCTTTGCTTTGTTTTAGGTAAATGGGAAAGGCTTCTCTGAATTCTCTGGTCTCGGCAACTCATCAAAATATCTTCCTTTTTCTAGAAAATCTTCAGATGATTTTCATTCTGTTGTTAGCTTCCAAACCAATGCAGTAAGTTCCTTGTCTCCAATGAATGGCTAATAATTTTGTTATTGTAAAAATGAAGTATTTGATTATAGTACGTGTATGAATAAACCCGAGGGTCCTGAGAGTGTGATCCTCTCAAGATCTCAAGTTTGAATTCTGCTATGTGCTAACAATTCATGTGTTTAAATGATCCCTCTACCGGACGGTGGGATTCAAACCAATTATGTGACATATTTTACAATTTTCATCTATCTATGAATCTATATGTGTATATTTGAAGGTTGGAAGTAGTGGAGGATCCAAGAAAGGTCTTGTAGTGGAAGCAAAACAACTGAAGGTGGCTATAAACGGATTTGGAAGAATTGGAAGGAACTTCTTGAGATGTTGGCATGGTCGTAAGGACTCGCCTCTTGATGTCATTGCCATCAACGACACCGGAGGTGTAAAGCAAGCTTCTCATCTCCTCAAGTATGATTCCACACTTGGAATCTTTGATGCTGATGTTAAGCCTGTTGGTACTGATGGCATCTCAGTTGATGGAAAGGTTATCAAAGTTGTCTCGGACCGCAACCCTGCCAACCTTCCTTGGAAGTAAGCTATTCTCTCATTCATTGGTTTATGAACATGTCATAACTTATTTCAATAAGCTTTGTCTCATATATGATCATGTTAGTAGATAAGTTTAAATATATCAATCTAAATAGACCCTTAAATGGATCTCTATCTGGTGCATGCAGAAAAATATTTGTCGCGATATGTCAACCTCTTAAATGGATCTCATCTTAGTTATCTCAAAGATTAATCTCTACAGTGGCGCATTAAGCGCGTCTTAGTTTACCTAAAATAACAAAAATCATTTTCTCAAGCAAATGTATCTTAACTTGCTTAAGTTTGAAGAATAGTGCATGCAGAGATGAAAGAAACATGATATGATGCATAAAGGTATATGTATGATATTAGTATTGAGAACTTCTCCAATACACATGGAGAAAATCGTCTAACGATTACTTACGATATCAGTTTGCTGTGTTTAGTGATTAATTAGTGAGGACATTTAAGCATAAATCATATTATTGTGTCAGGCGGCGACACACAGGCTATAAAGATTGCTAATGATATTGCAGGGAGTTGGGGATAGACTTGGTGATTGAAGGAACCGGAGTGTTTGTGGACAGAGAAGGTGCAGGGAGGCACATTACAGCCGGGGCTAAGAAGGTTCTCATCACTGCCCCTGGAAAAGGAGACATCCCTACTTATGTGGTTGGTGTCAATGCTGATGGTTACACCCATGCCGACGACATTATCAGCAATGCTTCTTGCACCACTAACTGCCTTGCTCCCTTTGTCAAGGTCCTCGATCAGAAATTCGGTAATGTACCTTTTCACCACATTTTCTAACAAGGATATGTACTTTTTTGATTATAACCTATGAAGATGTATTGGGCAATAGGTATTATCAAGGGTACCATGACTACCACTCACTCCTACACCGGTGACCAACGGCTTCTTGACGCGAGCCACCGTGACCTAAGGCGTGCGAGGGCAGCAGCACTTAACATAGTCCCAACATCAACAGGAGCAGCTAAGGCAGTGGCCCTTGTCCTCCCAACACTCAAAGGCAAGCTCAATGGTATTGCACTTCGTGTGCCAACACCAAACGTTTCGGTGGTGGACCTCGTTGTTCAAGTCTCAAAGAAGACATTTGCTGAAGAAGTGAATGAGGCTTTTAGAGAGAGTGCATCCAAGGAGCTGGCTGGTATTCTCTCAGTTTGTGACGAGCCACTCGTGTCTGTAGATTTTAGGTGCACTGATGTGTCGTCTACCGTTGATTCGTCCTTGACAATGGTCATGGGCGACGACATGGTTAAGGTGATTGCTTGGTATGACAATGAGTGGGGTTACTCACAAAGGGTGGTTGATTTGGCTGACATTGTTGCCAATAACTGGAAGTGAGAGCCAAATAAGGTTTGTTAATTATATCTATATATATGTACGTACCATGTGCCATTGTAATTTTGTACACTTGTTGCTTATTTTTTCTTTCTAAACTTGTATTGAGAAACAGAACCATCAATTTTCTCTTGCTCCTCATTGTGGAATAAATTGTTTTACCTTTCTGAAATCTACATGTTGATATTAGGCTTCCAAATCTATATATGCTCCATTGCACATTGTTATATTCATGACTTAGTTCCTTTCATTTTTGTATTCGTCTAATTCCACTTTTTCTGCCTCTAGAATTCTTAGGCTTCTGCTTTGGTTTTTCTTTCCCACTAGATGGTGAGGAGATCTCAGGGAATAGTTCCCTCACTCTTCACAATCCCAAATAAGATCATCACTATGAATTTTACTTAAATTTTATAGGTAATTGTTTTTAACTAAGTAACTACAAATATTGGAGGGGACATCAGAGGGGCTAATTGTATTAAAAAGATTTTTTCAATAAACTTTATTAGTTTAATGCAACTTTTAAGTTGATTTTAAGAAAGTGGTAGAAGAAGATCGTAAATTGATAAAAGCAATAAGCTAAAAGATGAGTGATTTGAAATATAGGGTCTACGTCCAGTTTTTAAGGATCACACCTTAAGCCTCACAAATTTTGTATACGAAACTTTTATCTCAAGTTTAACATGTAATTTATTTACTTTATCAGAGTTTAAGATGTGGATCTATATGATTATAATATTTGTCAAGTGATTTAAAAGATGACAATTTTATAAGTTAAACGGAGTTTGGTGTTGATGATTCAAGAAAGTGTTTTTGTGACAATTGTTAAAGTGATAGTTGTTAACAACTATCCAGCAATTTTTGATGAAGACAACTGATATGGGTCGGTCATATCGACCCCGATTGATCAACAGGAACTGTACTCTTTCTAGGACATCTCAGCACACGAAATGTCATTTTGATGATTACAAAAGATCTCAACTGCAAGTGTATCCAATAATTAAGTAATAAGTTTCAATTTCACTTTACTCTTTTTCCTCTCAAATTGACTCGAATATTGAAGTGCTAATCTTGCAGGTTCTCCCACTCCACCGCATACGAAGTATAAGTTCGCTATCGCCACCGCTTCTCAACTCATTTCTAGTTCCTGAAAGGGAATAGTTGCACCATTTGTGGAAATCAACTTCTGATTCCTATGATTTCCATGATTTCACGTTTGCTCTCCGATTCATCGGGTTGTGACCTCTTCATACCACAAAATCAAGAGCATTCTGAATTGAATTCGAAGATTCACCACATGCAGATTCAACCAATCGTTATCTTAATTCTGATTCCTCAAATTTCCAAATATCAAATTTCTAAGACTTCTGATGATGGCTGGATCTAGAGCTACTCGATCTGCCGTAGCGTGCAAAGTTGCTATTGCGTGGGAAGCAAGCGCTAGTGCTCAAGTAGTGGCCAATCAACCACCTATTCCTCCTCTATAAGGCATCGCAAATCCTAGAGCAACAATTCCATTGCATCCAAATATGGTATAGGCTCCACGATAACCAAATCCATTCAAGTTACTCCGATTAATCCTCTTATTTTTCTCCAATTTTGCTATCAGAAGCCTTACTTGGCCTCTAGGTATTGCAAGAAAACCTCGGAGTGCAAGGTGCTAACGAACTGTTGAATAGTCTGTATAACATTGTTAGACAGTAAAATTCGAACACACTCGAATGAAGTCCACAATTCCTTGAAGAAAGCCTCCATAATCTTCCACCTCACAAAAATATCGTCCAAGAGGCCGTGTCAAAGAGGACCCATAATGTTATCCCAGAGCCACATGGGGCGAAGAAAGGCAAAGTTCTCCGATCAAGAGAATGGTATAAGAGCAAGAAGCATCAGACTCCTCCCTAGAGTCCTGGGGGGACCGATGTAGTCACGCTCTTTCCCCGACTCAAACTGAGAGTTGTTGCACCCTAAAATTTGACCAACTTGTTTTACCTGATTTGTGTTTTCATAGCTTTATCATTTGCATAGTAGATCATGTACATAGTTCATTCATTTGCATAGCATAGCATGGGCCAGCCATCCAACAAGGGATCAAGTGCCATTTTCATCTCAAGAAGCATATCCAAAAAGTTTTTATTCAAGTTCAAGCCTATTCAAGTCACCAAGAAAGAAGGTGAAGCTTTGAGAAGTTAATAGATCAAGCAGTGGATTTATATCCTATCTGGGGAGTATTTGAAGATCATCAAAGAGGTTGTGAGCTATGGAATGAGGCATGGAATGTGTGTAGCCGTCATGGAAGACCTAGAGGGTCATTTTGAAAGTAAGACAAGTTATTGGTGTGGTTACAAGAGCTACAGTTGAAGACAGTCAACTAGGGTTTCACATGGGTCAACCCTAGGTCAACCCTAGGTCTAATGCTTGATTGAAGGGCATCAAGGCCTATTTGAAGGATGGGGGATTCATCATTTGATATGTGGATATGGATGTGGTGTTGTGCCAAGGAGAAATCAAAAGAAATCAAGAAGAAGAGAAGTTTCTAAATTAGGGTTTCTGTGTAAAATCCCCTGATTTAGGTCAAACTTCCAAGCAAAATAATTCAAAATACAAGTCTCAAATGGATCTTTGGCCAACATGAAACTTGTATAGCATCTCAATACCTTTAATTTGAGTGGTGGAAGTCATCAAGGAGATTCATAGAACTCAAGTTATGGTTCTTGCAAGTTACAGGTCATCTGAGGACACTGAAATTTATCTGTGAAAGTTACTTGACTTCCAAGAAACCTTTGCCCCACAAGGAGTTTTCAAATGAATTTTTGTTAAACATGAAAGTTGTTCCTCATGATATTAGCATTCTAGAAAGGTATGGTATGCCTCATTCTGATTTGTGGAACTCTACTTATGATCTTGACAAGCCAGGGGTATTTTGGGAAAGTAAGATTATAGGTCATTTCAAGCATATGCCTAAAACTCCTACTTGCAAACTTCAAATGAAAAAATGTTCAACATCAAACTTGCTCCAAATGATGTTTTGAGTCTAGGTAAGAGGTCATGATAGTTTGGAAATGCATGGAACTCAAAATGATAAAATTGACCAAATATGGAAGGTAAAAGTCCATTTTCAAGTGACCAAATTTGGGATTTTTTGATCCAAGGCCAAAATGCATCATGTGATATACCAAATTGAAGGGAAAACACATTTTGAGATCATTGACATCATTAGATTTTTCATTTGAGGTCAAGAAATTGGACTTGTCATTAGTTGCTTGTAAATGAAGTTACACTTGCCAAATGAACAAGGGATCAAAGCACAAGCTAGCAAGCCATTCCCACACATCTCATTTCTCATATGGAGAGAAATTCAAGCCTTATTCATGTGCTGTAACAGACCAAACTCCAACTGGTTTTTGAACTCATTAAAGGATAATATCATGACATGAGATTGGCAATTTCTCATTAGATCCTTCCAGTCACTTCCAGAAGTTTCCAGCATTGTCTATAAATGATTTAGAATGGATCAGGATCAAGGGTTTGCCATTTTTGAGAGAGAGAAGAAAGAGTGAGATCAAATTTTCTTCATTGCAAGTCACTTTCGAATTCTCCAATTTCTTCACAATCAATCCAATCTTTTGATCCTATTCAGTTCCTTTGGTGTTTCTGAGGGTGTATCAATCAGAATCTGAGAGAATTCAAGCTTGGGTCGTATTCTTGATCTCCCACTTTTCCACCTGCAACTTGAAATCTGATTCAGAAAATCAAGCACTTCCAAGGAGATTGGTTGCATACAGAAGCAAGAAAAGATCATACTGAAGGAATCTGGAGAAGGACAAGCCTTGGATTGAAGGTTTCTGCCATCTGTTTTCATCATTTCATCAGGTTAGTAAACTTCACACTCTGGCTCGAATTAGGAGTAATTGGCATGAAATCTTAGGTTAGTTGATTAGTATGTGGTTAGGTGGTTGTTTCTGGAAAGTTTGAAGCCATTTGGTGCTAGTTGACATAGTGGTATAATTTCTGTTGAGATCAAGAACGTGATGAATATGGAGTTATAGACTTAGTTTTTTAGTTAAGATTGATCAGTGTTGAATAAGGAAGAGATTGGGATACTTAATTTGATGATTAGTGATTATTGATTTTTTGAGCAATTTTGAATCCAAGATCGTGTTTGCTGTTAGAGGCTATATAAATTGATGCTGATGACCTAGTTGAAACCAGGGAAAAAATTGGATCATGTTAGGGGTTTTATTTTGTGGATTTTGGTTCAATATTGGAGGAACACAATTTTCTGCAATTTGTATTCATAGCTTGAACTTCCATGGCTGTTTGGGCTCCAAGTCTGATTTAAATGGAGAAGATGAAGCTGGACCATTGGATGTGTGCTGACTTTTGACTTAAAACGGAATCGTGTGGATGAGATTAAGTCTCAGTTTGTGAAGGATTTTACTGAAACACCAATACACAGTCGTTTCGTTAATTTGAGAAGCTTGGGCTTGAGTGATTTGTGTTACCAGCACCCCTTGTTTCAAAGCCCATTGATTTTACACTAGTATTAGTCGCTTTTGGCACCACGTTTTTCTTCATTTTCGTTACTATTTTCTTTTGATTTTATGTTGGTTTTGGGCTCAGTAATAGTTGCTACGCGCACCCCCCTGGTTAGTGGCCCATAGGATTTTGAACTACGCTTAGCTGCTTTCTGCACCTCCTGGGCATTTTAATTTCATTTTCATTTGTGCATTTTATTTCACAACTTTAGAAAATCATAAAAAATGGAAAAATAGTTATTTTAATCTGGGAATTTTTGCTATAGGTTAGTTTGGACTTCAAGAAAATTGTAAATAAATAAAAATTTGATTTTAGGTATTTTCTTTATTTTTTGTGAATATTTTGCCTTTAGTTGTTTTTTATTCCATTTAGTTGGTACATAATTTTGTATATTTTTGTTTAGGTAGTTCCCCTTACTTTTTTAGGCCATTCTTTTTAGGGTGATTAGATACAAACATTAGGTACCCCTG